GGCAGGAGTAGCAATACTTATCTCTGACAAAGTAGACTTCAAACCTACATTGATCAAACAAGATAAAGAAGGACATTCCATACTAATAAAAGGGGAAATAGACCAAAAGGAAATAATAGTTATCAACTTGTATGAACCCAATGTCAACGCACCCAATTTCATCAAACATACCCTGAAAGACCTAAAAGCATATGTAAACACCAACACAGTGGTTGTGGGAGACCTTAACACCCCATTATCATCAATAGATAGGTCATCCAAACAAAAAATCAATAAAGAAATCCAAGATCTAAAATATGCAATAGATCAAATGGACCTAGTAGATGTCTACAGAACATTTCATCCAACCTCTACACAATATACATTCTTCTCAGCAGCCCATGGAACCTTCTCCAAAATAGATCATATCCTAGGGCACAAAGCAAGCTCAAAAATAAGAAAAGAAATATACCGTGCATACTATCTGATCACAATGCAGTAAAAGTAGAACTCAACAACAAAAGTAAAGACAAAAAACATGCAAACAGCTGGAAACTAAATAACTCATTACTTAATGAAGAATGGATCATTGATGCAATAAAAGAGGAAATTAAAAAGTTCCTGGAAGTCAATGAAAATGAAAACACAACCTACCGGAACCTATGGGACACAGCTAAGGCAGTCCTGAGAGGAAAGTTTATAGCCATGAGTGCATATATTAAAAAGACTGAAAGATCCCAAATCAATGACCTAATGATACATCTCAAACTCCTAGAAAAACAAGAACAAGCAAATCCCAAAACAAATAGAAGGAGAGAAATAATAAAAATAAGAGCTGAAATCAACGAAATAGAAACCAAAAAAACCATACAAAGAATTAATGAAACAAAAAGTTGGTTCTTTGAAAAAATAAACAAGATCGATAGACCCCTGGCAAACCTGACTAAAATGAGGAGAGAAAAAACCCAAATTAGTAGAATCAGGAATGCAAAAGGGGAGATAACAACAAACACCATGGAAGTCCAGGAAATCATCAGAGACTACTTTGAGAACCTATATTCAAATAAATTTGAAAATTAAAGAAATGGACAGATTTCTAGATACATATGATCATCCAAAACTGAACCAAGAGGAAATTAATCACCTGAATAGATCTATAACACAAAATGAAATTGAAGCAGCAATCAAGAGTCTCCCCAAAAAGAAAAGTCCAGGACCTGATGGATTCTCTGCTGAATTCTATCAGACCTTTAAAGAAGAACTGATACCAACCCTCCTTAAACTGTTCCATGAAATAGAAAGGGAAGGAAAACTGCCTAACACATTTTATGAAGCCAGTATTACACTTATCCCAAAACCAGGCAAAGACACCTCCAAAAAGGAGAACTATAGGCCAATCTCCTTAATGAACATTGACACAAAAATCCTCAACAAAATAATGGCAAACCGAATTCAACAACACATCAAAAAGATTATTCACCACGACCAAGTAGCTTCATCCCAGGGATGCAGGGGTGGTTCAACATATGAAAATCAATAAACATAATAAACCACATTAACAGAAGCAAAGACAAAAACCACTTGATCATCTCAATAGATGCAGAAAAAGCCTTTGATAAGATCCAACACCATTTCATGATAAAAGCTCTAAGAAAACTAGGAATAGAAGGAAAGTCCTCAACATTATAAAAGCTATATATGACAAACCTACAGCCAGCATTATACTTAACGAGAAAAACTGAAACCATTCCCTCTAAAATCAGGAACCAGACAAGGATGCCCACTATCTCCACTCCTATTCAACATAGTACTGGAATTCCTAGCCAGAGCAATTAGGCAAGAAGAAGGAATAAAAGGAATACAAATAGGTAAAGAAACTGTCAAAATATCCCTATTTGCAGACGACATGATCCTATACCTTAAAGACCCAAAAAACTCTACTCAGAAGCTTCTAGACATCATCAATAGCTATAGCAAGGTAGCAGGATATAAAATCAACATAGAAAAATCATTAGCATTTCTATACACTAATAATGAGCAAACTGAAAAAGAATATGAAAACAATTCCATTTACAATAGCCTCAAAAAAAATCAAATACCTAGGTGTAAACCTAACAAAAGATGTGAAAGACCTCTACAAGGAAAACTATACACTTCTGAAGAAAGAGATTGAGGAATACTATAGAAAGTGGAGAGATCTCCCATGCTCATGGATTGGTAGAATCAACATAGTAAAAATGTCGATACTCCCAAAAGTAATCTACATGTTTAATGCAATTCCCATCAAAATTCCAATGACATTCATTAAAGAGATTGAAAAATCTACGTGAAATTTATATGGAAACACAGAGGCCACGAATAGCCAAGGCAATACTCAGTCAAAAGAACAATGCAGGAGGTATCACAATACCTGACTTCAAACTATATTACAAAGCAATAACAATAAAAACAGCATGGTACTGGCACAAAAACAGACATGAAGACCAGTGGAACAGAATAGAGGACCCAGATATGAAGCCACACAACTATAACCAACTTGTCTTTGACAAAGGAGCTAAAAATATACGATGGAGAAATAGCAGCCTCTTAACAAAAACTGCTGGGAAAACTGGTTAGCAGTCTGCAAAAAACTGAAACTAGATCCATGTATATCACCCTATACCAATATTAACTCAAAATGGATCAAGGATCTTAATATCAGACCACAAACTCTAAAGTTGATACAGGAAAGAGTAGGAAATACTCTGGAGTTAGTAGGTATAGGTAAGAACTTTCTCAATGAAACCCCAGCAGCACAGCAACTAAGAGATAGCATAGATAAATGGGACCTCATAAAACTAAAAAGCTTCTGTTCATCAAAAGAAATGGTCTCTAAACTGAAGAGAACACCCACAGAGTGGGAGAAAATATTTGCCAGCTATACATCAGACAAAGGACTGATAACCAGAATATATAGGGAACTTAAAAAACTAAATTCTCCCAAAACTAATGAACCAATAAAGAAATGGGCAAGTGAACTAAACAGAACTTTCTCAAAAGAAGAAATTCAAATGGCCAAAAACACATGAAAAAATGCTCACCATCTCTAGCAATAAAGGAAATGCAAATTAAAACCACACTAAGATTCCACCTCACCCCTGTTAGAATAGCCATCATCAGCAACACCACCAACAACAGGTGTTGGCGAGGATGCAGGGGAAAAAGGAACCCTCTTACACTGTTGGTGGGAATGTAAACTAGTACAACCACTCTGGAAAAAAATTTGGAGGCTACTTAAAAAGCTAGACATTGATCTACCATTTGATCCAGCAATACCACTCTTGGGGATATACCCAAAAGACTGTGACACAGGTTACTCCAGAGGCACCTGCACACCCATGTTTATTGGCACTATTCACAATAGCCAAGTTATGGAAACAGCCAAGATGCCCCACCACTGATGAATGGATTAAGAAAATGTGGTATCTATACACAATGGAATTTTATGCAGCCATGAAGAAGAACGAAATGTTATCATTCGCTGGTAAATGGATGGAATTGGAGAATATCATTCTGAGTGAGGTTAGCCTGGCCCAAAAGACCAAAAATCGTATGTTCTCCCTCATATGTGGACATTAGATCAAGGGCAAACACAACAAGGGGATTGGACTTTGAGCACATGATAAAAGCGAGAGCACACAAGGAAGGGGCGAGGATAGGTAAGACATCTAAAAAACTAGCTAGCATTTGTTGCCCTTAACGCAGAGAAACTAAAGCAGATACCTTAAAGCAACTGAGGCCAATAGGAAAAGGGGACAGGAACTAGAGAAAAGGTTATATCAAAAAGAATTAACCTAGAAGGTAACACACATGCACACACACACACACACACACACACAGAGGAAATCAGTGTGAGTCAATGCCCTGTATAGCTATCCTTATCTCAACCAGCAAAACCCCTTGTTCCTTCCTATTATTGCTTATACTCTCTCTTCAACAAAATTAGAGATAAGGGCAAAATAGTTTCTGCTGGGTATTGAGGGGGTGGGGGGAGGGAGGGGCGGAGTGGGTGGTAAGGGAGGGGTGGGGGCAGGGGGAGAAATGACCCAAGCCTTGTATGCACAGATGAATAATAAAAGAAAAAAAATAAATTAAAAAAAAGAAAAAAAAATACTTAAAAAAAAAAAAAAGTAAAGCAAGATGCTTCCACAAGGTGGCACTGCTTCAGTAGAACTAGAAGAATGCTGGGCTTGATGCCTGCGGGGTTGGGAAAACGTGTCCGGCCTCTGTGCTCTGGGTGCTCTGCATTTAGAGTAGCAGACAGTGTGGGAGCAGAGTTGTAACGGCCACTCCCCCATGGGCTCTTTAGTTGTGAGGAAGTCCTGCCCACCCCTTGGTCAGGACGCATAAACCCTGTTGCTCAGCTCGACCCTGAGGGCCAGCGGGGTCCTGGGGGTGGCTATGGCGAGTTCCAAAGTCTCTGAACCGTCCGAGATTGCGCGGGCTCAAGACAGATCGGGGCCTGAGAGGCGCACTCCCTGCCAGCTGGGCCGTGGATTCGGGTCCCACGACGACCATGTGGCAAGAGATTGTCCTCTCACTGGTCTCACGGGCCGCTTTCTGCCCTGCGGCAGAGGCGTCCCGGTGGGGTCGCGTGGGCCGGGCCGGCGCCTGCATCCCAATCTTTGTGATGACGGAGGTGTCCCGAGACGCGCGCGGCGGGCCAAGTCCTGGTTTTGATTTCACGCCCAGCTGGGAGGAACTAGGAGACTCCAAACCCCACAAACAGGAAGAAGGGAAGGCCCCCAGTGCCGGCAGAGGGAGGGTCATTCCCAGCAGCGCGGCGCGGCCGGGGCGGGGGCGGGGGCGGCAGCGAGTGCCCCTCCCCTACGCGCCGGTCGGGGGTCCCAGGGCCTCGTAGGGGGCTCCTGGGAGTAGCCAGAGAGGGTACCCCATCCGAGGGTTCGCGGGAGGTTCCGGGAGCACCGAGGGGGGCTCCTTGCGCCTCCCCTCCCCTGGCCCCGGGTCGCCTCCACAGAGCTGGAAGCCGGGGCGGGGCGTGCACGTCAGCTGGGGCTAGAAAAGGCGGCGGGGACGGGCCCAACGAGGTGACAGCCGCACTTGGACAGATCCCGGCCCGACGCCGCCATGAGCGCTGCGCTCTTCAGCCTGGACGGCCCGGCACGCGGCGCGCCCTGGCCCGCGGAGCCAGCGCCCTTCTACGAGCCAGGCCGGGCAAGCAAGCCCGGCCGCGGGGCCGAGGCGGGGCCCCTGGGAGATACGGGCGCCGCCGCCCCTGCTATGTACGACGACGAGAGCGCCATCGACTTCAGCGCCTATATCGACTCCATGGCCGCCGTTCCCACCTTGGAGCTGTGCCACGACGAGCTCTTCGCTGACCTCTTCAACAGCAACCACAAGGCGGGCGGTGCAGGCAGCGCGGGCGCCCTGGAGCTGCTGCCTGGCGGGCCCGCGCGGCCCCTAGGCCCGGGCCTCACCGTCCCGCGCCCCCTCAAGCGCGAACCCGACTGGGGCGACAGCGACGCACCGGGCTCGCTGCTGCCCGCGCAGGTAGCTGCATGCGCGCAGACCGTCGTGAGCTTAGCTGCAGCCGCACAGCCCACGCCGCCCACGTCGCCTGAGCCTCAGCGAGGCAGCCCGGGGCCCGGCCCCGCGCCCGGCCTTACCCGAGAGAAGGGCGCGGGCAAGCGGGGTCCCGACCGCGGCAGCCCAGAGTACCGGCAGCGGCGCGAGCGCAACAACATCGCCGTGCGCAAGAGCCGCGACAAGGCCAAGCGGCGCAACCAGGAGATGCAGCAGAAGCTGGTGGAGCTGTCGGCCGAGAACGAGAAGCTGCACCAGCGCGTGGAGCAGCTCACGCGGGACCTGGCCGGCCTCCGGCAGTTCTTCAAGCAGCTGCCCAGCCCTCCCTTTCTGCCGCCAGCCGGTACCGCCGACTGCCGGTAACGCGCGGCCGGGGCCGGCAGAGACTCAGCAACGACCGATACCTCAGGCCCGACGGGCCGCAGCGGAGTGCGCGCTGCCCTGGCCGCGAGAGCCGCCCGGAGCCGGCTGTACTTTCTTTGCGACGTGGGAGGGAAAGGAAACCACAGCCTGGACTTACGCCACTGAACCGCGAGAGAAGCTATACGTGTTTATTTTCCCTAAATTATTTTTATAATGATAGCTTTTTCTACATCTTACTCTTGTCGATGCAGCTAAGGTACATTTGTAAAGACTTTTCCGACAAGCCCTTTATGTTGTAGATAAGAGGAAAAGACTAAGCATGCTTTTTTTATATTAATTTTTACAGTATTTGTAAGAATAAAGAAGCATTTTAAATCGCTCCTGCTTCCTATATTTGCAGTGACTCCCGCCAGGAAAGGGCGTGTCCAGGACCTGGCGTGTGGTGAGGACCTGGGAACCTTGGGACCAGGTGTGTTGTTCATACGGGTTAGTTGGGCGTCTTAGAGGAAGGGGCTGGGGCTGGTGCTTTTGAAACCTGCCAGCCACCTCCGCATGTTCTGTGAAGCTGATAGCGCATGTTAGGCTGGCAGCTTCGCTGTAGAAAGTGTGCCCTGCAAAGCACCGTCTTAGACTTGGGTGAGAGGCTTGCTGATTTGAGGGCCCTGCTGAGAACAGCCAAGAGCTCCCCAACTTTAGATGGATGGTTGAGGGGTGAAGGGGTAGATAGAGGAGGTCTCAGTGATCCACGGAAACCTATCTGATCAGTCTTGGGCTGTCTGTCGTGGGACTCAGCTTTCACTTTCCTGGGTGCTGTGGCTAACCGTGGAGTAAGTTTTCAAAGTGAGCATGTAGTTAGTAGACAAAAAAGAAGGTTGCAAACCTACTTAAAACTGTCCATCTTGCCAGGAAATCTAGCATTTCAAGGCTGAAAAACTAAATACTGCTACCTGCCTTCCCCTAAGAGGACCGGGTATTAGCAGGTACTTTTGGTGTTGGCAGCCAAGTGTATATTATGTAATTAATTATCCGTGGTCTGTTACTGTATTGCTAAAAGGAAGAAAACAAAATCTTCAGTGTTCAAATATAATTAATTTGTGGCTTTACTTGTAATTCAGATCTGGGCCAAGAAAGCTAAGGATAACACACTGCTTTAAGTCTGTGTAGTCTTCCTCTCCGTGCATTTACCCAGCATGACTGAACAGGCCTGGTGAAGTGAGTTGCCTGTCCACCTATCACCACATGGGATGAACTTTTCTACACATTATGGTAACATTTTCACCTCTGACACAGTTCCCCAGAACATTTTCCCCAAAATACTAAACTGCAAAGTGCTTGGTTTGGACACTTATTTATTGCAGCATGAAAGTAATGTCACACTATGGGACAAAGGTTTAAGCTTTGTGGGGTATTTGGAGGAAATACAAAGGAAAAAGTGATAAATCACTGTAAAAATTAAATAAAGTTACAAGTGAACAAAATTATGCTATCTTATTGTATAAGATAAAATATGAAATGACCTCAGGCTTATATAAGCTTTAGAAACATGTTGCCAACTTTGTAAAAAGGTAATTTTAAAATAAAGAAGATATACTTTGGTTTTTAGTTTATAAAGCCATATTGCTAGAAAAATCTTAAGTTTCAGTTCAGGATCATTAAATACATTCACTCTGTCCACAGTTAACAAATAACTACCAAAACCAACCCCGCCCCCACCCTGGCAGCAGCTTGCAAAGCTCACAGATCCAATGGCAGCCTGGGGTTGGCAGGGGCTCCAGCACTCAGAAGCTCAATTTCCTCCAATCCAATGCAGCGGGTTGGGTGGGTGGTTATGGACTGCACAAAACAACTTAACCCCACCTCCTTTCCAAGGACGCTCTTTACTTCATAACTCTGCAGTGATAGAGGGATGCTGGTTAAAGTAAGTAAGAGTTAGCCCCAACTGGTCTCTTCCCAACAACACAGACACCACAGACCAGAGCAGAGGCCCTTTCTCTGACACCTCAACTTTCCCTCTTCAAAAGATGGACATTTATAGGGAGAAAAAATAAAGTCTGCTATAAAAGCCTCCTGTATCATGGCAGATGAACAAATATTCTGATAACTGTTTTTCTTAAGGGATTTTAAAAATATTTTATTCTTGGTGGATGACAGGATAAGCTGGTTTAGGAAAGGACCTGGGGGACAAGGCATGCAGAGGATCTATTTGACCTACAGCTGTGCAGGCCTGAGCTGGATGTGCTGCTCACAGCTGCCTCCCACTTCCTTTGGGACACTTCTCTAATCTAGCAACATTTCCGGTCAAAGGATTTCCTGGTACTTTGCCCCAAAATAGGATCATTCCTTCTTGAATTATACTGGGCCAAACACCTATTTCTGTACTGTGGCAATAAGACCTTTATTTTCACCCATTAATCTCAGTTTGATTTCTAGATCAAAATGCAGACCAGGCACAGTGCAGAGGGATCCCCATCCCTAAGAGGCTGTGCACTGGCTTGGCCTCCACAGATCAAACTGTAGAGTACTTGCAGTGGAAGGTGGGGCTGAAAACAAAAGCTCAAAACTGGGATAAATGATATCTTGGGCCTTCTGGGAGACTGAAGTCCTGGAAAGTAATGGTGCCTGCAGAGGAATCAGGGGCACCCTAATCCCTCCTCCCTGCAAGGCACCTACCTGACAGATTTCTTCCACATTGTTTTATTTATGTTAACCTACGCTTTCCATCATTAATGTCTCAGTTGGAAAGACCAGATAATGTGACTAAAGCAGGCTGACTGTGGGTCCTGGTGCCCTGCCTTTGTGCCTCTGCTCTTGCCCTGAGTCTGGGCTAGCCTCAGTGCCTAGCTTCCCGTGAACAAGGTGTAGTGGAAGGGACACAGAGTGACATCCCAAACTTGGCTAAGAAACGTGGCCAGCTTTGCCTAGCTCTCAGGACCCAGATATGTACCATGAGGAACTCTGGACAGGGCCCTGGCTGGGTACTAAAGGAGGATTCTGTGACTCCAGCCCAACTGTGGGGGTACCAGCTGAGCTCCAGTGAAACAGAGTAAGGTGCTGGGCAGAGTGCAGCTCTGCCCAACTGCAGGTCTGTGTGCAGAATAAATGTTGAAGCTACTAGGTGTTGAATGAATGGTTTGTTTTGTAGCAATAAACATCAGAGTCAATCCGAGATGTGAACACCACTCTGATGCCAACTCACTGAGATACTTTGTTTTCCCAATGTAGCTTATTTAATGTGCTTAGTAAACAATTTTGGCTTCCTTGGTTAAAAAAAAAAAGAATGAGGTTTACAGGGTGGTTTAATGGAGTGATAGGAAGAAAGTGAGAGTTGTTGCTGGTATACACAGGAAGAAAATGACAGTGGAGGTGAGGGCCTTTCTACAGGTTCACGAGGAATGGATGGCAAGTTCATGGCCTGCTCATATGTTCACTCATCCTCCGTTTATTGTGAGCCCATGTGGCCCAACAGTGAACAAGACTTTGAGGCTACTGGTCTGGAGAGAGTTCCAGGCAGCATAGAATTAAGTCACTGTTCATTGCTGGGAGGACAGAGGTAGGACAACTAGGTACACCTTTGATATCTCTCTCAATTTCAGTTAAGCCTTGCATGAGTGTGTGAATGTGAAAGAGGTGGCTCAGGCACTCCCAAGCTCCTCTGGGATATAGAATTCTGGCTTCAAAAAAATCAGTGAAAAAGCATTTCTATTTAAAGTGTTAGGTTTGGCTATATCACCTATAAATGGAGTTTAAATCTCTTATATTTTGGGGAAATTAACTCAGTGAGTTTAAAACACTTGTATCAGCAAACTCCTATACATTATTCATATGACTACATTTGCATATGTATAAAATGTGTCTATTTAAAAATGTTCATATAATTTTGTGTTTTTAAATTTTTGGTAGTGCTGGGTATTGAACCCAGTTCCCTGTGCCTACTTCCTTTTTTTTTTTTTTCTGTTTTGGCAGTACTGGGGTTTGAACACTCAGGGACCAAGCACTCTAGCACTTGAGCCATGTCTCCAATCCTGTGTCTCTATTTTTAAAAGGCACAATAAATTTATTCCTTTAACTTTTCCTTTTCTAAATGTTAAAGGACCAAACTCCAAATTCCATGAAACTATAATGTAACCATTTAGATATGACATATACAAAGACAAATAATCCTATTGTTTTCCCAACTGTAGCTTGACCACATTAAAATAAGGGTATAACATTTAACACTCATATGTCCTAACCAGAAACAGTACATTTGCTCCAGGGAATAGAGCTTGGATTTTTGTGGAAAGTCTTAATTCGATCCTCTGAATTTTGGTGAATGTATATTCTCACCCAGAAAACTGACAGTCCACACTGGGTAACTCAACTGTGGCTACCAGATCTTTTGATAGCCATCTTTTATCAGGCTCCCTTCAGGTCAGAGGTAAAGGCCTAGCTAGTCACTGTGAGCAAAGCTGGGGGCAAGGTAAGGAGCTTGCTAAAATGTGAACCCCCAAGCTTGGAATATTCCCCCATCCCGTTGGCATAGATTCTGAAATCAGAGCACCCAAAAAGGTGACATCTGGGGTTGTGACCTCAGATATGTCCCTTCACCCAACAACAACAACAACAACACACACACACACACGCACACACACACATACACACACACACACACACACACACAAACACACGGAACACTTAGCTGTTAGTTTGTTTTGGTAGTGTATTTGGGCTCATTTTATTATTCATTCTCAAACAAGAGAGTTTTCATGCTTCCCTCAACATTCTCCATGGGGACACGTTTCCTGAAAACTCTGATCTGCCATCTTTAGCACCTTCCTAGGGCCCTTCCCCAACCTTGGAAATCTCTGAACTGTCAGTCTTGGGTGGCCCCCCTGACCCAGTACCATCCCTTCCTTCTTCTCTTCTCCTTCCCCCAAGGAACAAAAGATAGGAGATGAGGAAGAAGGCACCTGCCACCTGTCAAAATAATGAAATTTCTACAAGTCCCCATCAGATGTCCTCTCTGCCAGCTGGTCAGTCTTGTGGAGATAACAACTCTGTCATTGTGGGATGTCTTTGAGCAGGACACAGTCCCCAGGCTGAGAGAGGTATCTGTGGTGGCTCCACATCTGGGGAGCAGACTTAGACCAGCATTGCTGGATATCATCCCCAGGACAACTTTGGCCCACTGAACAGCAGATTTTTTTTCTAATTGTCCCATGATTAAATTCTAGCTCCAGTTCCAGCCAGAAAGTGTAGTGACTTGATCCATCACTGGGGGCTGCACTTTCTAGTGGTAAAAGGTGAATTCTGTCTTACTGGAATGGGGAGACTTGGTGAGAACACATATGAAGAGAGTAGTAAGCTGGATTCTGTCTGGCCCATGGTGATGGCTGAGTTACACAATCAGTAAACACTTGCTTATGCATCTTCCTACAGCCTTCTCTAGGCATCAGTCCCTGTTTGGGTGGCAGCAGCAGTTCAGCCACCCAGGTTTTAAAGCTTGTGGGTGTTATCCTAGAGTAGAGCAGAGACCCTTTAGAACTCTCTAGGCAAAGCTAGTGTGAAGTCAGGGCTGGGAACCATGGTTTACACCAGTGATCCTCAAAGATTCTCTTCATGAATTTATCTACATTCCTATTTAATTCAAACTCTATTATGCCTGGTTTAGATGAAAGAGGGTCAACTGCTGCTCTGCATGAAGGAGCTGCTGAAGGGAGGAACCCCCAGTGCTGGATAAAGTCACCACACTTCCTGGCTGGAACTGGAGCTGGAATTTAGCCATGGGACCATTAGAAAAAGCTCCTGTTCAGTGGGTCAAAGTTGTTCTGGGATGATACCCTGTCTGCTTAGACCAATGCTGGTCTAAGTCTGCTCCCCAGATGTGGAGCCATCACAGATACCTCTCTCAACCTGGGAGCTCTACCCTGCTGCCACCCAGTTTGGTGATTCCATGAATTTAAATGTTTTTAAATGGCTTTGACAAGTTATTTATGTATGTATATATGTATGCATGTATGTATGTATGTATGCATGCATGTAGTGCTGGGGATTGAACCCAGGGCCTCATGCATGCTGGGTAAGTGCTCTACCACTGAACTATATCTCTAGCCCTCAGTGGTCCCATTTATGAGGGCCCAATTTCACAAATGCAGAAACTGCCTTTGGTTGGCCAATTATGTATTTTGGTGATTCTCAGAGGAGCACACTGTGCTTTTCTAAGTCACACTATAATAACTCTCAAGGGAGGCAATCCAGTTCTGAGGGATAAGGATATGTCTTCAGTTATGCAGAGTCTGGAATATCCGGCAATGAGAAATTAAAGTGTGTCTCAGGCAGTTCTGTCCTATGACTGAATCCATGGCACCAGGACTCCAGACTGTGTGACAATAATCAAAGCTATAATTAAATTTCTGTATCTGTTGCATGGTCGATCTGGAAATAATCTCATTTCCAAAGGGTGAACACTCTTGCAAGGCTACATGGGCATTTGTTAGTGAATGGCAGTGGCAAGATGTATCCGTGTTTCATTGGTTTTTTTTTTTGTTGTTGTTGTTTTGTTCAGTGGTACTGGGGTTTGAACTTCAGGATTTGTGCTTTTTAAGCAGGCACTCTACTAGTTGAGCCACACCACCATGACTCCCCCATGTTTTAATATGTAAATGGACACAGCATTTCATGGTGAGTTTGTTGTAACTAAACATATATGACAGAGGAGCAGGGCCTCCCAGCACTTACCCCATCCTCATAGGTGGCAAACCTCAGCAGTGAAGAAACACTGCTCTGCAACAGCTGTAGTAACAGGGAAAAGGGCTGGGTTACATCCCACTAATGTAGTAAGTAGTCATGCTAACGCAACTCTTGTCCCGAAAATCAGCATGCCTGTCTCCTCTTCAGAGTTTCAGTCTTAGAGCCCCAAGTCAAACATGACTCATAGGTCATAATATGGAGACACTGTTCCTGAAAGATGAGTCCTCCCTCCCTTTCCCAGTGGAGCTACTAAGGGCTAAGCAGCTTGGGATGTACCTCCCTCCCAGTCTCAGTTCCACACAGCATCACCACAAGGTGGACAAAAGAAAACACATGTATCTTAGTGCCAGCCTCATCCTCGTGGTCCATAAAGTGGACATGGAGAATGAACATGTGCTCTATGCACCGGCTCCTACCTTGACCTTCACACTGCACTGGGGTCTTGAGGGGCAATCCAGAAAGACCTGCAGGTGCCTCTTGAGAATAGGCGATGTAACCATCCGGGAACAGTCCCCACAGGAAAAAGTGCCTCTGTTGTATAAAGGCACATGGGAAAGATAAGCAACTGGGGAGACGCACAGGTCAGGAGAGTTCTAGCAGCAGACAGACATTTCTCTAAACATGAATGTTTGCTGAGGGAGAAAAAGGGATTTGATGCCAGAATCAAATTCCTGGGATTGGTGAGAAGCAGTCAGGGACTGGGCCTGTTCTGAGCATAATGGCAGCTACAGGCTGCTGAGGGGGTCTTGGGCAGACAGAGGTGAAGATCCTCAGGAAGTGAAGGCAAGGCCCTCTAGGGAGTCAGGGCTTCCCACCTGCCTGGAGAAGCCCACTTGCTCTTAACCACCAGTACCTGAGCTCCCAAATAGCTTTCACCTGTACTCATGCTCCCTGGTCTCTCTGTCATGACCCAGTGATGATTTGTGTATATGAAAGCCACCAACCCAGGAGGCATTCTGGTGACATTTGCTCTTTGCTTATTAAGAAGCAGACAAGTAGTGAACATACCCCTTTTTCTATCACATGACAAAGTTCATAGGGGAGGCCACAGAAGTGATTCAGAGGGACAAATGGCACCAGCACCTAGTCCTGACCTTAGCCCAGGAGGAGGGTGCAGAAAAGTGGACAGAAAAGAGACATCTGCTCAATAGCCTCTCACTGTTCTCTGGGATAGTCTGTACCATTCTCAAAGGGCATGGTCTGCAATCACCATATTTGTCTCACTTCTTCACATTTGTCCTTTTCCCCTTTTTCTCCTGACTGGTAATAAAGGAGCTGAGGCCAACTGCCAGCTCTTTTCTCTTATAAGACTAGAGGAGCTACAAAAACAGAGGAACTGCCTCTTAGGAAAACCCAGAAGCATCACAGCCTCTTTCCTGCAACTCAGTGCAGCTGGTTCCCCTTTGGAGATCTTGGGAAAGCCCCTGCCTGAGGCTGCAATGCTGTGGGACCCTGTTTTGCTGCTGCCCTTTGGGGCCCAGGGGTTTCAGGCCAGCCTTACCCATCTTCTGGTCTCTGTTCCAATCTACCATTGCCACACTGGTCACATACAGGCCAGGAGAAAGCAGTGCTCTTGTCCACACCTACTACAGCACCTAGGTCCAATGAAAGGAAAGTCAAAGGTGGTTTGTGCCCTGAGCACCCAGGTAACATGAGGGGCCTCAGATTTTTTTCTCACTTCTGAGTTTATGTAAATGTTCCTGAGCCTTCTCTCGTACATACAAAATTGTAACAGTGAAAAGTTAGTTTTAAAACTGGTCTGTGGGCTGGGTGTGGTGGCTTATGCTCGTAAACCCAAAGTTACTCAGCAGGTGGAGACTGGGAGGACCACAGTTCGAGGCCAGCCTGGGCAAAAAGTTAGCAAGACTTCATCTCAATCAACAATCTTGGTGTGGTGGCACATGCCTATGATCTCATTATGTGGGAGGAATAGGTAGGAGGATTGCAGTCTGATGTCAGCCTGGACAAAACCATAAGACCCTATTCAAAAAATAAATAAAGCAAAAAAATAAGGCTGAGGGTGTGGCTCAAGTGGTAGAGCAACTGCCTAGCAGGCTCAAGATCCTGAGTTCAAACACCAGCATCGCCAGAAATCAAAATAGTACTTCTCAATATCATTGGCTAATCAAAGATTTTAAAATTCTTTTTAATGTATTTTTGTTGTATATTACATTGTGACATTTACAAAAATTCTTTCAATATATTATAGTTGAATTCACCCCCTCCATCATTTCCTTTATCCTCTCCCCCAAAGCTTGTTTTAACTTATTTTTTCCCTATCCTTTGCCAGATGCATACATATTTAATTTTTTTTATGGTGCTGGGGTTGGAACCCAGCAACGGGTGACTCTACCACAGCTTCTCAGTCCCCCAAAAGTGCACATATTTCAATTCATGGATAATACAGACATTAACTCATGGATGTCTTCTGCTTTTTAGACTGCTGCACAGCTGCTGTATGGATTGTTAACAATCTCACTGACACCCATTTAGGTGATGTGTGCCAGTTCTGTTCCCCACATTGGATGTCAGCAACTATCTTTGTATACAGTCCTTTTCTATTCTGAGGCCCTTCCTTATGACAGATTCCTGGAAGCAGGATTGCTCTTTCAAAGAGTACGCGTGTTAATGCAGTAGAAAAACCATTTTACAACATGTCCCCAAAGGACTTCTGCATTACCCTGTCCCAATTCACAGTGCCAGGCTCACTACACTGCACACTCATATCATCATAAGGACTTGGCTTCTTAACAGAATAATGGAATCACTTATTTTCTTTTCTTCTGAGGTGCTAGGGATGGAACCCAGGGCCTTGTGCATCCCAGGTAAGCACTGTACCACTGAGCTATAACACAGCACCTGGAATTCCTATTTTAGTTCTACTTCTTTCATAAGATAAATATTTTTACATGATTTATCAAGTTTTCTTACTTATTGTGATTAAGAATACATAAATTCCTTTTCTACAGAAACATTCATAATTTACTTCTTTAACCAACAAATATGCAGATGACACTACTATTCAGTGTGAGATATATGTTGGATGCTAGAAACAAAGACAAATGAACAGTCTCTACTCTCATGGAATAAGATTTGTTGGGAGAGCAGATAAGACAATAATGAGTAAAAACAACATAAAATAAATGTTAAATTGAGAAGTGGAAAAGACCCCTGAGAAGTGCAGCAGAGCTGCCCTCTGTCCGTGCTTCAGGGACAGAGGGCTTCCTAAAAAATGGAGTGAGGTGGGTCTGTAGGCTGACCTAGACTGGCCAGACTTGGGCCTCAGCTGACCCTGCTCACCACAGCAGTGCTGCAGGCCAGTCAGGCAATATAACTATTGGGGGCAACACCAGGGTCAGAACTGAGATGGTCAAATTTCCTTGGATGTGAAGCAGGACAAATATAATCTAGACGTAACAGAAAATTGCAAATCATCCTTGTTGAAATGAGGTGAATTAGATGTTTGAAGAAAAAAGAGCGATGTGACACAAGTTTCCAGAAAAACAGAAGAATTTTCATTCCCATTCTTTTTTTTTTTTGGTGGTGCCAGCATGGAACCAGGGCCTTATACATGCTAGGAAGTGCTTTACCTCCGAATTATATTCCCAACCCTCATTCCCATTCTTGAAGCAGAAAATTTCACTCCTCACTAGACAAGCATTAGGAACAGTATCTGTAGAGGATAAAGCAGAATTTTAGTTTATGTATTCATGCAATACTGACTTGAATAGCTTCTTAAAAATGAAAATAGTGAGAATAGCCATCATCAGCAACACCACCAACAACAGGTGTTGGCGAGGATGCGGGGAAAAAGGAATCCTCTTACACTGTTGGTGGGAATGTAGACTAGTACAACCACTCTGGAAAAAAATTTGGAGGCTACTTAAAAAGCTAAACATTGATCTACCATTTGATCCAGCAATACCACTCTTGGGGATATACCCAAAAGACTGTGACACAGGTTACTCCAGAGGCACCTGCACACCCATGTTTATTGCAGCACTAGTCACAATAGCTAAGTTATAGAAACAGCCAAGATGCCCCGCCACTGACGAATGGACTAAGAAAATGTGGTATCTATACACAATGGAATTTTATGCAGCCATGAAGAAGAACGAAATGTTATCATTCGTTGGTAAATGGATGGAATTGGAGAACATCATTCTGAGTGAGATTAGCCCGGCCCAAAAGACCAAAAATCGTATGTTCTCCCTCATATGTGGACATTAGATCAAGGGCAAACACAACAAGGGGATTGGACTATAAGCACATGATAAAAGCGAGAGCACACAAGTGAGGGGTGAGGATAGATAAGACACCTAAAAAACTAGCTAGCATTTGTTGCCCTTAACGCAGAGAAACTAAAGCAGATACCTTAAAAGCTCGTGAGGCCAATAGGAAAAGGGAAACAGGTACTAGAGAAAAGGTTAGATCAAAAAGAATTAACCTAGAAGGTAACACCCACGCACAGGAAATCAATGTGAGTCAATGCCCTGAATAGCTATCCTTATCTCAACCAGCAAAACCCCTTGTTCCTTCCTATTATTGCTTATACTCTCTCTACAACAAAATTAGAAATAAGGGCAAAATAGTTTCTGCTGGGTATTGAGGGGGTGGGGGGGAGAGGGAGGGGGTGGAGTGGGTGGTAAGGGAGGGGGTGGGGGCAGGGGGGAGAAATGAACCAAGCCTTGTATGCACAGATGAATAATAAAAGAAAAATGAAAAAAAAATGAAAATAGTGGATTTTGATTTTGAAAAGGCTACCTCAGCTAATGACACTGTCCTTGTACATGTATTCAAAAGTGGGGCAAAGGGGGTTGGCAGAGTGGCTCAAACAATAGAGCACCTGCCTAGCAAGAGTGAAGCCCTGAGTTCAAACCCCAGTGCCACTACACATATACAAAAATCCCCAAAGTGGGTGAAAGGGATGAAAAATAAAATCTTATAATGCAATGGAAAGGAGTATCAGCTAATTCATAATAGACAGATACAGAAGGTCCAAGGGAGAGAAACGAGTCTGTGTCCCCAAACACTGTACCATGTCTTGTTCTGTGGTCAGGCTTGGGCTGGGTCTTTGTGCTCAACATAGTAGTGGATCACTGCAGTGCCTGGTAAACAACTGTAAAATGAATTAATAAAAAATAGGCTGCTAACTAACCAAAGTTCCTTTTGACTGTAGGATATCTGTGGTTGTTAACAACTCTTACATTTTATGGGATTAAGTAATTTCCTTCTAATTAGAGAATAAGGCAAGAGTTAAGGAAATGTATTTTATCTGAGGTCTATAAACCATTAGAAGTACTTTTGAATAACCTTAAATGAATTTCATGGGATGACTAGGAAATGTACTACTAAACCGTGTTGTGAACATTCACTAAAATGAGCAATAGAAAGAAAAGGAACCGGGCACAGTTGTATACGCCTGTAGTCCCAACACTTGAGAGGCAAAGGCAGGAGGATTCTGAGTTCAAGGCCAGCATGGGCTACATAGGAAGTTCAAAGACATCTTGGGGTACATAGCAAGACCTGTCTCAAAAACAAGGAAGGAAGGAAAATTCATTTTCACTAGGGCTGAGGTCACAACTTGCACACTCACTCAAAGGCTTTTATTAAAAGCCTGCCTGTTTTCTGCCTGTACAGAAACCTCTTGTAATTAGGTTTAGGAAAGGTACATATCACTTAGTTATGAAAACATCTTTTTTTTTTTTTTCCAGCACTGGGGTTTGAATCCAGGACCTCATGATTGCTAGGCAGGTGCTCTTAACACTTGAGCCACTTTGCCAGCCCTTCTTTGTGATGGGTGTTTTTGAGATAGGGTCTCGTGAACTATTTGCCTGGCTGGCTTTGACCTGTGATCTTCCTGATCTCTGCTTCCCAAGTAGCTAGGATTATGGATGCGAGCCACTAGTGTCTGGTGAAAATGTCTTTTTAAAAAAAGGGGTCTTCACCTAAAAAATTAGTTAGCATTTGTTGCCCTCAACACAGAAAAACTAAAGCAGATACTTTAAAGCAACTGAGGCAAATAGGAGAAGGGGACCAGGAACTAGAGAAAAGGTTAGATCAAGAAGAATTAACCTAGACGGTAACACACATGCACAGGAAATTAATGTGAGTCAACTCCCTGTATAGCTATCCTTATCTCAACCAGCAAAAACCCTTGTTCCTTCCTATTATTGCTTATACTCTCTCTTCAACAAAATTAGAGATAAGGGCAAAATAGTTTCTGCTGGGTATTGAGGGGGTTGGGGGGAGAGAGGTGGTGGGAGGAGTGGGGAGAAATGACCCAAGCATTGTTTGCACATATGAATAATAAAAAAATAAATAAATAAAGTTTTTATTAATAAGTTTTTAATAAACTTTTTAAAAAGTTTTCTTTATTTTATCATTTTTACATTTACTTACATGTGTATACGTTATTTGGGCCACCCCCCCAAAAAAAAGGGGTCTTTCAAAGGGTTCTGAGGGAAATGATCCATCATAGGGACCATCTGAGGTCCTTCTTGGCTGTACTGGAGTGTACTACAAGCCTGGTGCCCACATTTTTTCAATAACTCTGTACTTTCTGCTATACTTGTTTTCCCCTCCCCTTCTCCCC